ATTTCCATCCTCATGGACAGTAGGTCCCTCAGCTCGACTAAAAGTCCTATCCAGCCCCTTCAACCACCTCACCTTGCAGTATCACTATTTTATTATCCCCCCCTCCCCCGTTCCAAAGAGCAGCCTCCCACGTCAGAGGAACAGAGGTCAAGGGTGAGAACAAGGGAGAATACACTGAAGAAAGTGAGTTTTAAAATAACGTACACAAACCTAGATGGGCTTACAAAACAGTTGAACATGGAAAAATGTCATACAAAGATTAGTAAGATAACCTAGATATAATGGCACTGACATAAACAAAATTGTCAGGTGCCATAGCAAATGCAGCGTTCTCTCAGGACTATCATATGATACAGAAAGTGAGGGGAAGGAGAAAAGTGGCCCTGAACGTTCTTGGGATAGATGTACCCAAGAACGAAGTGAGGTGATTGTTGTTGTTTAAGATTCGCTACTTGGAACAAAAAGTTCCAAGTAGCACGGGCTATGGTGAGCCCGTAGTGGGCTTACCTGGCACAGGAGCGATGGCGGCGTTGGTGTTGATTGCTGTCTTGTCACGCACTACCTGCACACTCCACACTTTCCTCGGGTTAACACCTGTTTTCTCTTACATAAAATCACAATGTTCTCGACACTTTCCCCTTGGAATTTGAATTGTCTTATTTTTCTCCGACTCCCGATGTTGCCAGTTCCTGAAATATCAGAGATTTTAGCAGCAAGGTAACAGAAGTAGCTGCAGTAGTTACAGTTGGAAGCAACAGCAGCAGGTGTAGTTGTTGTTTGAAGTAGCTTCCTATATTTATTTTCTACCACAAACGTGATCATTGTCTTATTTTTGATTGTAGTGCTCAAGGTTAGAGAGCTGCTACAGTACGACTCACGAGTTCCGATGTTGCCAGTTCCTGAAATATCAGAGATTTTAGCAGCAAGGTAACAGAAGTAGCTGCAGTAGTTACAGTTGGAAGCAACAGCAGCAGGTGTAGTTGTTGTTTGAAGTAGCTTCCTATACTTTATTTTCTACCACAAACGTGATCATTGGTGTATACAATGGTAACCAACGTATACATATTCTTCTGCCCTCCGTGAACAGGGTGAGATCTGTGTCATGCAGTGAGTTATTGAGCACTCAACCACAGGTGATTGTAGTGCTTTTTACAATGGCAATCACCATACATACATTCTCGTGTGTCTTAGACAAGGTTAGAGAGCTGCTACAGTACATAGTGAGTTAGTGAGCATAACACCACATAGGTGATCGGAGTGTTTTTATAGTGCTAGCCAGCATATTTACAACATATATTACCGTCTGTTCTACATAGGCACGAGTTCGAGATCTGGTCTCTTACATTAAGTACAGTTGATTATTGAGTACAAAACCGGAGAATTTAAATTTTAAAGTAAAACTGGTAAAGATCATCATTAGAAATAGGGGGTTGGGGACTTCGACAAGCCGCCGGCTTCCTGTCTTCGTCGAGGCCACTAGTGTTAGTGGCCCTCTGGTATAGTCAGGACTGGTTCTTCCCCTCTGTGGGGGTCAAGGGAGGACCAACCCACGTGACACGCTTCACCCTGCTGACACTTGTGTTTCCTGAGTACACACCGCTGCCACCATGGCGGTACGTTGCGACCTTCACTTTTAACCTCACGTTGCAACTCATGATTGTTACGGTGTGTATACTCTTATCGGGAACAGGAAAACTGTTAGGCTCGTCGAAGTCGTCCTAGGAAAGGGAGAAGTTGTCCAAGCCTTAACTTCACGCGTATGATGATGATGTATGTATCACGCGTACGCCATCATCTACTGCACTTTATTATTATTAACATGTGCAGGCGATGAGTCACAATAACGTGGCTGAAGTATGTTGACCAGACCACACGCAAGTAGGTGAAGGGACGACGACGTTTCGGTCCGTTCTGGACCATTCTCAAGTCGATTGTGAATGGTCCAGGACGGACCGAAACGTCGTCGTCCCTTCACCTTCTAGTGTGTCGTCTGGTTAACTTATTATTAACATCTTTATTGACAAAATTAATTACAATTTTGCCTAATCTGAGGATTTCAATAAAGTCTTATTAAAGTGAGGATAATGCTGGTATTCAGTCACTCAGGACAGAGGGTCATACACAAGACATTAGGTCTAAACTGTAGGCTGAAGCACAAATATATCATGGTTACAATCAATGTTTTAATGTATGAATATGCAAAAAACAACTTTCTATTGTGCACTGCCACATAGAGGCAAGGATGGACTGCACTACGCTATTCTTCCTAATGTTATATTCTTGTAACTTGTGATATATTGGTGTCGTACAGCAACTCAATATTATGTTTCAACTCAGTCAGGTTTCAACTTATGTTGCAACTCAAAATTATGATGCTGTGTTGCGACTCATAATTTAGATTTGATGTGTTATACTCATGGCGTGTAGTCAGAAAGAAACATGAGTTGCATTTTTCTTAAGTTAGTAGCTTTTTTTCATGTGGACTTTTCATTGGTTGTATATTCTAAGCATGTAAGCTATGTAGTTTGGTACTGGACTCGAGGCATATCAAATTCTAGTTTAAGAGGGTTATTAGGCCACCATAGTTACTGACTAACCATGCAGCAAGCGTTAGTCTTGAATTGAACTATATCAAAATCAGTGTATTTACCCCGAGAAGTGGAAGTAATTATCAAAAGAAAGCGGTAAACCAGAGTGACTATACCTGATATAGCATTGTCAGTGGTACAGAATATTTGATTTTTTGAGATCATTCAGGATGCAGTACAGTTAAATATACCTCGGTGTATGCATGTTATTTACTAGCTACTGTATTCACCTACTCATTGGGCACATTATCTGCAAGTGGGGTACGGTTCGGCGTTGCTCTTGGATGTTGTACCCACCGGGAAAGTGTTATTAATGGACATCAATGATAACTTTCCATCTCACTGGAGAATTATTGTATGAAAGTACAGCATGGAGGTATATAACGAGTGACGTCATGCATGCTAGTTCACCACCAAGTTTGTTCCCATTCATTCTCACAAAGTCACATCCTCTTGTGGGAAAATACGAGCCACTATCAAGGTTACTTGATATTTGTATGACGGTTGTATTTCAATGGAAATGTTTGTATTTCTTTTATATTTTTGATACACGGTACTTTGTCTTCTCAATTTCAAACCTATAGTAACGTTTTATGGTTTTTGTTCTCAATAAACAAAAGTTCTCGTTGAACATTATTTGTTCATTATAGTTTAAATATATATAATGTTTATATTTATTGAGAATACTGTACGTCCCGTTAGTAAAATAATTCGTTTTGTCAGGGACAGGAAGACACTTTAATTCGACAGTTTATTTTATTTTTTTTTTTTTTTTGAGATATATACAAGAGTTGTTACATTCTTGTACAGCCACTAGTACGCGTAGCGTTTCGGGCAAGTCGTTAATCCTATGGTCCCTGGAATACGATCCCCTGCCGCGAAGAATCGTTTTTTCATCCAAGTACACATTTTACTGTTGTGTTAAACAGAGGCTACAGTTAAGGAATTGCACCCAGTAAATCCTCCCCGGCCAGGATACGAACCCATGACATAGCGCTCGCGGAACGCCAGGCGAGTGTCTTACCACTACACCACGGAGACTAAATATTGACGTTGGGAACGCTAGCGAGAATGGGCTGCAAGCGCGGTGAGCCTGTCTCATATAGAGACATGATCACCCCATACAAAATTCTCAGGCGGAATTGACAGGGTAGATAAGGACAGATTATTTAACGGGTGGTACTCGCACAAGGGATCACAGGTGAAAACTGAGAACCGAAATGAGCTACAGAGACATATCAGAGATATTAACTACACTAACGTTCTCAGTGTCGGAGTAGTTAATAAATGGAATGCACTAGGAAGTGATTTGGTGGAGGCAGACTCCATACACAGTTTCAAATGTAGATATGATAGCTTAATAAGCTCAGGAACCAGTTCACTAGCAGATTGACAGTTGAGAGGCGGGACGAAAGAGCCGAAGCTCAACCCCCGCAAGCACACCTAGGTGACTACACACACATACACAACTGTTGCTAAACTCCCGGGTACGCATTTACTGTTAGGTGAATAAAGGCATTAGGCTAAAGGGAAAACGTGCCCAAACCATTTGTCCCGCCCGAGAATCGATTGCGGAATCGAACCCGGATCCACGATTGCGAGTCGAGAACGAAGCCAATATGTTCGTTGGTTGTGAGAAACAAAAAAGGATAATTGGTGTTCCTGCTCCACATATTCCAGGATACTCTCACAGAAAACTTAAAAACAACCTCTTGACGGATGTTGCATCATTATATACCACCACTTTCTCCGGCTTGTGGCAATTATCCTTGTGCGTTAAGGTCGATTGCTCAATATATAAAATAGTACATAGCACAACCACTGTAGTAGGAAGAGATGGGAAAAGGAATTGTGTTGTTTTTGAGACTATATATATATATATGGGATTAGTCCTTCAGTATTTGCAGTATGTTTGGGTTATTCAAACTTGTAGAGATCTATTTAATACATATCTCAGTTATTTCACACCTTTTAAGCAACGAACCTTTCCTCGATCGAATGGTTCCCAATTTTGGTGATAAAGCTTGTCTAGACCCGATCGAGGTCCATGTTAGTCGAGGGTCTGTGATTCCCAGCCTCTACCGTGGTACAACTCCTATAATTGAAATATATTTGTTCGTATATGTATATTTTTAGTGTAGTTATATTTTTTATATTTTCTGATTGCTATATATAGTGAGGACATCGTTAGTACTTGGACCATAGCTCAACCTCATCACTTATGTGAGGGTAGAACAAATCACAAAATCCAATTTCTTTTTATCATGTGATATAAACCTTAAAAAAAAACCTCTTTGGGGAAAGCTCAGGAAAGGAAAGGAAAGCTTGATATTTAGTTGTCACCAAATCTGTTTGTACTGTACTGTAATAATAATAAATAAATGTAGTTTCGATATAGGTGTGTTTTTTCAGAGGCGAGCCAGACAAATGTGACAACTATGGCAATACAGCCCTACATTGTGCGGCTGCCCGAGGTCATATAAATTGTGTCTCCTTCCTTGTCAACTTTGGCGTCAACATCTGGTCGTTGGACAATGAATTTCACACTGCCAAGGAGCTTGCTGCCATGAACAACAAGGACGACATTCTCCGTTACCTCGACACTGTCTCTGCTAAACAGACCATGTCTGACCCTAAGGTCAGTTCCGATGGGGAAAAGTGAGATGCTGTATTTTCGTACATGGCAAAATATCTCACTTTTCCACTTCTCCCCATGGACCAATGTGTGGAACCAAATTCAAATTCTGAAATATAATTACCTGATGAAGTAGTACAGCTTAATGGATTAATTAATACAGTAAAAAAATAATTCTAGTTTGGTCACTAAAATAATCACTTCCCATAAATAAGCTTTGGATAGGTTGTATAACTTAAATTTATCCAAAACTGTATAAGGAAATGGCAAGTTCAATAATGTGACAGAAACAAAACATTTGGGACCATCTACAGTACAGGTATATGAATTTAGAGCCTCCAATAGATACTTTGGACCAAAACTGGAGATCTGAGAACTTGGGATGCTTACAAAATGAGGTATCAAGTGAGAAATAGCATGGATAAATTATGGTTATGTTGGGGAGGACTAAGATCCTAAGTTGGTAATTTTGAAAATCAGGAAAGATAAATAGGTGCCCTGAATGAGGAACTGAGAGTTCATTTGGGAATCTGAAAACTAAGGATGGATAAACTAGGCCTTGAGTGAGGAACTGAGGACCGTATTTGCAGAGATAATTTATCTTAGGCAGGCGAACCTGACTTAACAATCTGAAAATGAGCATTGAAAGACTAACTGAATGTGTCTAAACTCTTGAACTCTGCATGACAGAAGGATAGCTGGGTGGGGGTGCAATGTGGATATAGATAATATGTATTATAAATGGGAATGTTATGATAAGAGCTGTACAATTTAGTGTAGACCCTGTTAATAAAGTTAATGAGACTGGGATTAGCTAACAGAATGTCAAAGACGAAACCATCTCCCCTTCCCCAATGATGAGTGAAATATACAGGGAGACTGGGTAAAAGGTGAAGATGGAGAAACTTAAATGAAAATCTATATTAATTGTGAGAAATACTGAAATAACTCTTCTTAGTTGTTACTTATTATGGTGACACTAGTTAATCGGTGTTAGTTACAACCACTTCTTATGGTCACACTTCTTTAACAGCAAGTGAAGAAGCTGCAGGACAAGGCACAGAAGGATGCTGAGAAGAGACAGAAAGAGTTTGACAAAATTCAGAAGAAAGCTGATAAAAAACGAGAAGACGAAAATGTCAAATTACAAAGAGAGAGAGAGAAGATTGAGAAAGTTGATGAAAAACCCCAAAGTAAGTTTGTTTTAGTGTATTTTACATTGGTTTTAATCAGTTAAATTTGGTTTTAGGTGATTAATTAATAAGTATATTAACTAGTTTAAAAGATACTTTATTTTGGGCTTATTTGATATTTACAGGTCGAAGCAAAGCCATCATAAATACTATCTCACGGGGCTCCATGGCCCTATTTAGTGGCCCGAGGAAAGACTCCCGTGTACTCTACAACAATGCTCACAATAGCCCCAAATTCTCTGACCTCACCATTGCAAATAACAACAATGCCAAGAAAAATATGGGAGGCATACAGAAAAAGATAATTAAGAAGAAAGTGCTTGATGATACTAAAACCTCAAGTGATTTCAAGGTACTGTATAGAAGTTGGTATAACTTGCATCCCCCAATGACTGCTAGCAGTATTAATATTTGGAGAAAACAGACCTCAATTTGCATTTACATATATCAAATCTACTAATATTTGTATAGTTAAATAACATAGTAAATGTAATTTATATAGTTGATGCATGCCTATATAACTAGAGGTATTTATAACACCTAATTTCTGTTGACAGTATGGTGCAATGCCAATTCTCACACATGTTGCAACTCAAAATATCAACCTCTACCTAATCCTTATATCTATGGTTACTCTTAAAATTTGTGCATAATTTTTAATTCCTTGTTTGCTGTATATAGAACAGTCTCCAGATCCCCCCAGTTCGTTGTAAGAGGAATCACTGATGAAGGACTTGGAATGGGTGGGATTTGGGATTGGGTAACTGATGGATAGAATTCCTTGTGTTCAAAATAGCATTAAGATTTGTAATAATGTTTTAGCAAGCATAAACAGAATGTTTTATTCATTCTGATTCATAAAATACTTAGCAATGCAATAGTTTGTTTCATGGTTATGCTTATCCAGCAGTCTTTTAAGAGTAGTGGGATTGTTGATAGCATAGTGCTTTGAAATTTAATTAATAATTAACTGAGGAATGTTATTATATTTTATATTGAAGTTTTCCTTTGAATTGAACATTGCAACAAGACATAATATATTGGAAACAAGTTATCTGTGGGGCTCCATTATGCACAATTCTTATATAAAAAATTTGTCTCTTTACAAACGAGTTAAAAATATTTCAAAATTTAAAAAAAATATGAAGAACTCACATACTTCCTTAGATATACAGAATTCCAAATAACCTAGATTCATATAAAATATATCAGTTCCTGAAATTTAGATAGTTACACCATAATCTTTTTTTTTTGGTAGGATATGGAGAAAAAAGAAATTTGGATGAATGAGGAAAATAATAATAGATGTGTTAAATGTAATATTTTTAATAATTTTTTTTTTACACAATGCCAGATGCTCAAAAATTTTGTAGTGAATTATTTTTATTTATTATAGTAAATTTGATAATTTGACCTGTACATTATTGGATAATAATAGCTAGAGAGTTGCCAAATCTTGGTAATTATAGGGATTTATTAACTAAACCTAATGTCATTAAATTTCTGAAGTGAAACATGCCATGATGCAAATTCGCTCCTGCTGAACCAAATTAAGTCACATGACATAAGCTGTCATCTAAGGTTTAAAGAACATGTATCAAGTACAGGTATAGGTAATAATTCCTTGTAAAAAGACTATACAGTTGTATGATTTGTGGCAACTATGATAGATATAGAAAATCATATTTTGCATATAAAATACTTGGGTATACTGTAAATCTAATTATCATATGGACATGTGGTGTGACTTCATTTAAGAAGTACAATTGTCAGGCAGCATTTGGGAACTTTCTTGCCATTATTCCCTTGTGGGACACCACCCTTTCCTGGAGAAGAACTGGAGGCAGTTGTATGTGGCTCATGTAGCCCTTGTCTAGTCAAAGGATAGGAGACAGACTAAGAAGTTTTCTAGGGCTAGGTCACAGAACTCTATGCCTTCAAGTTTGACTTTTGCTAGGGAGTGCAGCTGGGATAGTTAGCTTGTGCCACAAATGTAGCAGGTAAGAGGCTTCTACTGTGAGGTTGCAATAATGATAACAACTGCTGCAGTATTGCTTGGGTCTGAGCTCTGCACTTTAAAATTTTCTGACAATAAATACCCCAAATGATAAATCCCTGGAACTGTTATTTCTCTATTATAACAATATTCAAATGGGCATCACTGATCTCAGTATTACCACACTGAGGATTTCTTTTCTATCACTTCAGTTCCTGTTATACATATACTGTACTGTAATGAGAAATGTCAATGTGGTAATGGTAATACCCAAATTGGCATTTTCACCTCAAATTAATAATTACGATCAATCACTATTCTGTAGTGCTAATAAAAATGTTTTGGTTAATGTTTCTAAAACTTTACTTTGTGGTCAACATGGCAAATTCTGCCTATTTATGTATAATTTTGCTAGGTACGAGAGGTGGAATCCGATGGGAAGAAGTCAGTGCGGAATCTTAATGGTCTCCGTCGAGACTCTGAGATCATGTTTGTACCAGGTGGCAGTTTAAGCAGCACCAACAGTGAGTCGCCTAGATGTATGTGCTGTCCTGTCCGTCCGTATATTTCTCATGGTTTCTTTTAAGTATTTGCGATTCAGTATGACAATATTGTACATGTTTTATTTTTCATAGATTCTCCATATGCAGACAATGAGTCACAATAACATGGCTTGAAGATATGAGAACTAAACCACACATCAGAAGATGAGGAGACGACAACATTTTGGTCCGCCCTGGACCATTATCAAGTCAAATATTAAATCGACTGAAGACAACCGACTTGAAAATGGTCCAGGATGGACCAAAATGTCGTCATCTCCTCATCTTCTGATGTGTGGTTTAGTTCTCATAGATACTCCATGTCATGATTTAAAAAAAATATACTATTCATTGTCGTATAGTTCTTTTTTTCTAAATACCTATTAAAGGGCAAGACTGCAATTTTTAAGTTTTCTTCAGTGGTAAAATATATACTCAAATTTAATCTGCTTAGTATAATTTGCTATTACAATTATTTTTAAGTAATTAAATGCTGTGTTTGATGTTTTCTCTATACTCTATATGAAACAATATTATTCTTTCTCTGCTTTATACTGAGAAAGCTGACTAGATCTGTCACTACACCTTTCACACTTTAAACTCAAGGTAATGGCATTGAAGCTGTAATGTGTTCAACTTTATACTTTATCGACCATTTCATAGACTTAAGTGTAAAATAATCCATATAAATTGTCAATTTGTCTTTCATTCACAACTAAAATTTGCTTCTACAGTATTTGAATTAATTTATTGAAATTTGCCATTCATTAAGCAGATGTCATCTTGTCCCAGTGGCACTATTGGTTACAAGTGACCAACATTACTGGGTGTTGACTATGTAATGTGATTGCTTTTAACCAACATCTAGGGTGTTTGCTTATAACAACACTCATCATAATCACTTATCTTCTTATCCTTCCTTTGCTGCTCATATTCTCAAATACATTCATTACATTCATTAACACTTATCTTACTTATTCTAATATCACATACACTGGGTTCTCACACTACTTTCGACTCATAATTATTCATGCACGTTACACCAATGAGTGACACTCATGCATTAGATTCAGAATTTTATCAAAACTTATAAAAATCATTACAATATTGGCTGAGGTAAACACACAGATCATGCAAAATAGATGCGTGTTCACTAAAACTCAAAATACTTGTCAGTAAGTCATCACTTTGACAGTAGACCTACATAATTCCAAATACAGTGAAACCTCGGTTCTCGTAGTAAATTTCTACGAGAAATTCGATTCAGTAGTTGTAGTTTGCCTCGGTGGTCATAGTTTGTTTACACACGTACAGATCCACTGCGAGCGTGGTGCTTCAGTTTACCAGTGTCTCCCGCCTAGTGATGATCGCATTTGGATTCTTTGTGAAGAATTTCATTGTTTTTGTGCTTTTTTGGTTTTTGAACATAAAAGTTCTTGTTATATATCATGCCATGGGTATCAAGAAAGTCAGTGTAATGTTTAACCTAAGAAAATAGTTGTGAGGATGACAATAGTGGAAAAAAAGATCATTCATAGTGAGATAATATGTGTCTCACAACAGACAAGTTTTAAAATGTAGGGAAAACAAGCGTCTATAGACATATTCTTAGTAAGACAAGTAAGCAGTGAGTCACAACCAGGTCCTAGTGGAATGCCTGCAAAACGTAAGGGAGAGAGAGTATCCCATAAATGTCATCACTGCTGTTATAATGGAAGGGGACTCCCCTTCTAAACACTAACACCTCTCCTCCTCCCCCCTCCTCACTGTCTTCCGTTTGCCAACAAGAGTCCTCCATAAAGGTAAGGTACCTAAGAGTATTATTCTGTATAAAACTTATATTTTAGTTAATATTTTTGGGGGTGTGGAATGGATTAATTCAATATACATTACAGTATTTCTTATGGGAAAATTCATTTCGGTTTTTGTACTGTCTCTGGGAACGGATTAACTACGAAAATGAAGGTACCACTGTACCTAACTGGGGGTCTCCCTACTTTCTCTTCTGATTAGTTTAATTTGATTATATTTTGGTTCTATGTTTAGCATTCTAACGACATCATTTGATCTCTGAACACTATTTGTTCCTATAAGATACTTAAACAAAGCAACATAGTATTTTGTTAACTCTAGGGGTCTCTGAGAATACATTACATCCAGACACTTAGAACCAATAGTGTAGTGAACTACATTTATTCCTCATGTTCTGGGTATTCTTCTCATTCAGAATACCCAGAATACTCTTCTCTGAAGAATATTCTGAATACTCTTCTTGTATTCTCTTGCTTTAATATCTCTCTCATAACTCCATCCATATACTTCATGGAATAAGGGAACATTGTACTGTATTATATTTCACCAAAGCTGACTTGGCCACTATTTCTAGACATCAAGAGAGGGAGGCTCACTGATGTGTTTGAGACTAGCGATAGTGAGGATGGAGAGAGACCCATGCAACGAACTCTCAGCCAACCAGACTTTACATTTGATGGCATGGAGCAACAGAACATGTTGTCTAGAGGTTCCCTGTTTGCAAGACCTGGTTTTGGTTCTGTTGCCTTTAGGTGAGTTCTTTTGTGACCTGATTCATGTTGTATTTCTTGTTGCAAGGGATTTTAAAATAAATTTATTCTTACTACAGGAAACTGTGTGATATGCAATATGTAATATATACAGTACTAGAGGGGCTACTGGGCTGTGCCTGCATCTTTCTCTTCCTTTCTCTCACATCTCTTATGCTATCCTCCCCCATCTCCCCCTCTTCATCCCTTTCTTCCAGCCTCTTCCATCTCTCACTTCACTTCTCCTCCCCCCACCTTCTTTCTCACAGAATATTTAATCTATATATTATGAAGCACTGAAAGACCTATTAAATAACTATACAGAAAGCACATCACTGATTTCAGACTTTACTTCATGAAAATCACAGGGAGTTTCCCTACAGAATGTCGATATTTCTTAGTGTGGCAATGGGGCCGACCCCAATTGACCTCTGACACTCCTATACCCCCAATGTGTCATTTTGGATAGTTGGGTGAGGCTAGACCCTAAGTGTCTGGCCTCCAACCTTAAACACACATTTTGTTTTACAGATATAGATTTATTTACTTTTTATGTACATTTTGTCATACAGCTTTAACTTTGCAGAACAAATTCTATAACGGCAACACTGAGCAGCTTGGCCATTAGTGGTAGCGAGTCAACAAGAGCCTCATCTGCAGGAGATTCTTCTACCTCCCTGCCTTACAGACAGGCTGCTGAACCCTGGGAAGAGGAGGTTGGTATCAGTATATTATATATTAATTTTGCTGAAATAGATTCATCCTATCGTTAATGAAAAGTAGGCAGTTGGTGAACTTCAAACTGAATGTTTCTCCAAGAAAGCAGCCATCTGCATGGATGTGGATTTAAAGAATTAGGTTAAATTTTTAACTGAATTACAATGATAGGGCCTTGATTACTTAATATCTAGGTGTGCAGTTTTGAAGGAATTGACCAGATAGTGTAGAATATAGAGAATCATCCTAACTCATTTATTTTCCACCTTATTTGTCATAAAATATTGGTTCTGCATTTATTTTTTGTGTATTCCAATATTGGTCAAACAAATGAATATGTTATGAGCCAAAATATTAACTAAAATAGTGTAAATAAAAAACCCAGCAAGAACCAGCTTTGGTGTTGGCTGTGCTGTTGAAGCTGTTTGCGCCTATCCTGAAAAAGGCGGTGTTCTTTCTTCATTGCTTCTCGTCTCGCGTGCCGTCAGGCAGTGCTCTCTCTCTTTCTCTGGAATCTGCTTGGGCCCTGGCTCTTAGGTTTTCGTCACCATTTTGTCCGTTGCTGTTTACGGAGGCTGTTGTCACGCAGTTTCTGCAGGCGACTTCATCTAGTTGTCGTTCTATGTTGGACTTGTTGGTTCCTGGGAGACCCAATCCCTGGAACAGGGAACAAAGGAAACCGGATCAACTTTAAGCGCATCTTTAAGTTGATGCACTAAGTTCGGCCACTTAAGCTGAAGCTCACAGGTAACGGTGAAAAGCCACAACCAGACACAAAACACAATGCATCCCTGGCCTGACCAAACAAGCATGAATAACCCAAGGACCCCTCCAGAAAGCAGCTGTCTCATTCTTCACCAGAAAAGAAGGCTGCAACCAAACAAACTACAAGGATCGAAGGAGCAGAAATCCCTGCGCCGGAGGTGAGCATGAAGCTCACCGACCTAACCCCCAGAGGCCAATGCCAACAGAAACAGAGCCTTGGAAAAACAATTTTGAACTGAAGAGGCCACCATGAATCGAGAAGAAGATAGGAGAGCACCCTGTCCAACGACCAGGATGGCTTGGACACCGCATGAGCAGGCCGGAGGTAAAACAGAGCACGAAAAGGTTCCGGAATGGGGCAGAAGTAACATTCACCACGAACGCAAGTTGTAGTGGCTCCGACAATGCCACACAATATGAGGCGACAGTATTAGGTGTCAAATGACAGTCCTGAAACAGCCTAGACAGAAAGGACAAGACAACCTAATCAGAAATAGAAGACAACCTTCGAAGGGAGAAAAAATGGCGGAAAGAACACCATGAAACTTCATACTGTCGCCGAGATGAAACTCTCAGGTGGGACACAATCAACAAAGCCACCTGATCACCATACAAATAGTGATAAACCCGCGTCAAAAAGACCAGACGCAAAGAGCGGAGGAGAAGACTGTACTTGCAGTGTACCGGACCATTCTGACCTGCTGGGAGAGGTGGAGCCAAAAACACCCCGGGTTTGGACGTCGAGTAAGCAGCGCCTCAAACCAAGCCTGGGCCGGCCACCAAGGGGCCACAAAGACTACTCTCTCGAGGTAAGACTCCAACTGAGCCAGAACCCGAAGCAACAGCTGGACGGGGAGGGGGAAGGGAAGAGATACAGCTAACCCTACCTTGACCAGTCCTGCCGAAAGGCATCCACCACCTCAGTCAGAAAAGGGGGCCACATATATCGGGAGACGCCGAGACCACGCCAACCTGAAGAAGTCCACTTCCGGGTGTCCGTACGTCCAGCAGAGCCAACTGAAGGAGTTTGCATCGACCGTCCATTACTTAACAGGGAAATGAACCGAGATAGGCCGTCTGCCAGGACATTGGAAACTCCACAGATATGAACCGAACGGAGAGCCAAACTCCGAGAATCCAGCAGACGAGCCACTCCGAGTGGCAATTCCTCCCCAGCCCCAGGATCCCCCAAGTTGGGACCCAGAGCAGAGCCATCCTCTAAACCCTCTACCCCTGAAGAAAAGGCAGAGTCCAGAGGAAAGACTGAAAAGAAGGGGGCCTGCTGGTGGGACCCAGAAGCCTCGTGAGGAGGAACCAGCTTGAATGCCTCTGTCCCCAACCCGAACGGGGCAGCCCCTGAAGCTGCCCGAGTCTCATTACCAACTAAACCCTGCCCCCGACCCCAAAACCCTCAGACGTTTGGGAGCTGGAAGCAGGGGGGAAGGTGCAGGATGAGAGCGCAGACTGAAACAAAGTTGAAGTGACTTAACGCCCCAGGTCTAGGTCCCTATAACCAAAGCGGGACAACCACGAGGCATATGGGTGGGAACCAACCTCGCGCATTGCAGCAATCTAAACCTATCATGCAACGCAGATACTGCCTGTACCCTAACAGTAATGTCATCAGAATGGTACTGAAGAACAAGCATAGAACATGACGCAAGACTCTGGGTCATAGTTGCCGTTGACCCAACAGGCAGCATGACGGAGGCAAAAGCAGTAACTGTCATCTTTGAGACAAGGACACACAGCAACCTTCAAACCCACACGAGGCGGGCTAGAACTCGTAAGACGCATCCATAGGTCCACCGAGCCCCGAAGGCTGATGGCTATGTGAAGCCTGGGCAAGGTGTTGTTAACCAGTTAAGTCCCAAAGCTAACAAAGGGGGGAGATAAAAACACTGAAACCCCTGTGACGTATACAATCACAGGAGCCTAGCGGAGGGCCACCAATATATTATAAGTGGAACTATAGCCACACCAGTAACCCCCGCAAAAGGACAACGTCCCCAGAAACAGGAACTGGCCCCCGCGTAGGTAGGCAGGCAGGCTGCACAACACCTTGATGCCCCAACAGCATGATACCAATCCTTACCCCAAGGCCAAATGGGGGCCACGAAACCCCAGCTGGCCTTAAGGGCAGGGTAAGTGCCTAGCAGCAAAAACCCCTATGGATTTGGTTCCTGAACGCACCAGGGAAAAGAACCCTAACACGCAAGGGTAGTACTCACAGGGCACTTAGGGAAGGAGGCCCCTAAGCGCATGCAGCTCTGGTACTCTTGAGGACACCTGGCCACCACATTTAACGACACCACGAAAGCAAATACTGCTTGGAAAGTGAGGCCAGAAAAGACGTCCACGCCGGTTCGCATTAGCTGACAAACTGGAGTGACTGGGTCGCTGGTGTGAGGGGCCTAGGGCTCCCCCTCCTCCTCCTGGTGGGTACACAGACGAGCGATGTGGTGGCAATGAAGTGTGATGTTTGCTTGTATCCTTGGGAATTGAGGGAGTTCTACCTCTCTGTTCGGCTTTCGGGTGTAATTTTCTTACCATGTGAGGGTCTGTTTTGTTATGCTTGCCTTACTGGTAGACATAACCCCGGTCAATGGCAGATAAGGTTAACCCCGAACCACAGGGGTTTTCCAGGGCCGTTGCTCCCTGTGCCTCTCCGAGGGGGGCCATGTTCTGGCTAGTGGTCCTTTGTAGTCAGATCTCCATAGACTAATGCCCCGGTCTAATGCTTTGCATATGAGCCCGATAGCTCAAGGGAGCCAAAGGGGCTCCCCACAGAAATAACTGGTAGTCAACTTAGTCATGAAAAAATAACCTTATGAAAAATATGAATGATAGTTTCTCAAGAGTATTTGTTATAGGCTTGTCTAAATTGGAATTCCCACATAACCATTTACCCGGCCTCATGCTTTGTGTGTCAAGTGTTTTTATTTCTATAGTTTGACCTACACCTTCAAATCATTTTACTAAGGAATTGCAAATTCTTTGCAGACAATAAGTCACAATAACTTGGCTGAAGATATGATGACCAAACAACACATCAGAAAATGGGGAACCAACGATGACATTTCAGTCCATCCTGGACCATTAACAAGTCATCACACAACTTGATAATGATGCAGGATGGATTGAAATGTCATAGTTTCTCCATTTTCTGATATGTGATTTGGTCATCATTGCAAATTCGTTACCTGTTTGTCACTTTACTTAAGAATGTAATATCTTAGGATTTACCCTCCGACGATGAAAGTGAAGCAACCCCTGTGTACCTGTTCCTTGCTGCTGCCGGCCTCGTAGACTTCATCCCAACATTTGCCAAAGAACACATTGACATTGATGCTCTTATGCTTCTGAGTGAAGAGGACCTAATAAGTATGAAACTGCCAATTGGACCACGTAGAAAGCTCTTGAAAGCCATCGCTGACCGCAAGTCAACCATAGATGATCCTGGTGAAGTCCTAGATAGTAAGCTATAAGTTCTGTATAAGCCATAGCAATTTTTCACAAATATTTTGATGTCATTCCATTTGTGCATTATAATTCTTATTAAAATGTACATTCTTTAAAAAAGTTGTATATATTTTATGGTTGTCGTGGTAGGTGAAAATACTGTGTACTCTATAGCATAAATGATTATCAGACTAAACTTAAATTCAGGTGCAATGGAAGGATTTCATTCTGGTTGATGACTGCTTGCAGTGAAAAATAATGGAAGATTTCAGTGAAAGAAGCCCATTTATTCACTGTACTGGAATTCAATACTTACTGAAAAAGATAAAAATTTAATTACTGTATATAAAAATAAAAAATTTCAAAGCTATTTTGGCATCATATGTACACAATGTAGCGTGTGCTATCACTTGCAACAGTAAAAACTATGTCGTTAGGCATAAAACGGCAAATAACTTGTGCAACATAACTTAAGCCGATGAGAGTGGAGTCCAGTAAGAATCTGTTCATTAAAGCAGGAATGTATTGTAGTACAGTATGTACATTGTTCTAAATTTGCTTTGATAGCATTTATTACCCTAATCACCCCCCAAAATATGCAAGCATGTTGTAAAAATAGCATATATACAGATATAGCACAGACTGTTAGGCTCTGCTTAATATGTCTTGAAGCTATTAAGCTGTTGGTTGTAGTTTTCATACACAATTGAACAGGGCACATTTGTTTCGGCTTTATAAATACTCGAGTGTATTTTTATTGTGTTAATCAAATTCAGCCAGTCTGGATATGAGAATAATGATTCCTAACTGCAATATTTAATAAAGGTTTTATGACTTTCGAAGAGAACTAATATTATGATTGATTGCTGATATTTAGTCCCAAGTGTGCTTGTGTATTAATGCACTGTGTTTGAATATGTTTGTGATGTAAATACAGTATTAGATATGCATTGTGGGTAAACCTGTAATGTGTACAACTTAACCTCCCAGCATTTATTACTGTCTGCATAACAAAGCAATTATAGCTAAATGCATTGTTATTGTGACGTATTGTGTGTATACTTTAATATCTTAAGTCATTTTTCAAGTCATATTATTGTAAGGTATTATTCAACTTTTATGATAAGATTTATCAGTAATTATTTTCATTTTCTTTAGCAATAAAGTTTAATACAAATGACAAATTTTAGTCAACTAATTAAGAAAACTGACATTAATATGTATGTATAAATTAAAGCCTGTGGAACATACTGTATTGCAAAATTTAATGGAATACTTACCATTTACTTATAAGAATTCCCCACAAGTGGATGATGCACTTTCTCCAAGTGACTGGAGGCCAGAGTGCTCTGTCGGATCATGTTGCCATATCATAATAGTCATTCTAGCTGATTTAGATTTAGTTCTTCGAGTAACTAGAACTGTGGTTAATTTATATTTTTGAGAACAACAATGTCAGGGTACTGCCTACACCTCCAATTAATGCCTATATTCTTTGATAACTATATTTTCCTTTTACATCATAATCTAAAGGAAAAGCCTTTTACATTCTATATGACAAAGTGATTATTGCATATGTAAAGGGATGATATATGAAGGAACAGTTGTAACTATATACACTACCGAGTTTCATAATGAACACTGTACACATAATAAAATCAACCCTTGAAAGTGAAACCCTGACATAATCAGAGATCTCTAAAATTACAAAAGTAGACATAAAATGTGTAACAACTTCTAGTAGTGTACATGTGAACTCTAATAATGTACTATTTATTGTCATAAACATAAGTTTTTTTGGTATTACAATGCTGTACTTATTACATTGTAGCATTTTGAAAGTGACCAACAATATCATTCAATAAATTATACCAAACCAATTGGAACATTTTAAATCTCCAAATATAGTTAAAATGACAAGTCTTAGAAATAATCTACCTTAAGTCAATTGCATAATTTTGAATAAAACTTAAAACATTAAAAGTTTAGTTTAATGGCATGCAGTAGTTATAGATAAAAATGAGGACAGTGAGGAGATAGTTACTGAAAAAAAATATTGTACTGTTTTTATAACTACTGTAATGAAGAGAGGAATCCCCAAACTGCCTAACTACAGACATGTAATAATGGGAGGAGTGGGTTACCTCAAATATCTTCACAAGCTACCTGGCTTCCTGTCCTAGATGGTACTAGGATATAGGGATACAAATTAAAGAAATAAGATCATGGGCGTTATTCAAAGTTGTAACGTAAACAATTAATGAATAAATAAACCCGAATCTAATCAAGATCAAAAGTTTATGAAAGTTGTAGTTACCTTCAAAATAGCTAAATAATAAAACCGAGAATAAAAATGAATGACTATTGCAAAAACCCAAAATGAACACATGCTGGGGGAAAAACACTAGATGAGAATGATGATCAAACCACACATCAGAATATGGAGAAATTATAATGTTTCAGGCCATCCTGGACCATTATCAAGTCGTGTCGAAAAGTATAGAAAAGCTGAAGCAGAGATAAAGTGACAAGCTAATGTATGTAATGGTTGACTTAACAAGTAGCACATTAGGGGTAACAGATTAATGGGGTTAGTAGTAACAGAAAAGCAGTGTGAATTATAAGAATATCATGTCAAAGACTACCTATAATAGCAGAACGAGTAAAGAATATTGATAAAGAACAGGAGAAAGATGTGGTAATGAAGCAGAGGCAAAAGAAAACTTGAAACTGAGAAATAGAACAAGTTATAGAAAATGGTTAAACTGCATAGAATATTGTGACTGACACATCTAAGACCAAAGAAAGTAAAGCTGTGATGGTAGGTGGTGGCCCAGAAAACAAGCAAAGGGGCAGTCGGCAAACTGCTAGAAAAAAGGGATAGCAACTCGTTCCTCGTATAATCACAATCCCTTAGAAAATCCAGTTTCCTTGATTATACCCGAGTATACCTGGAGTGGATTCTGGAAATTCTACTTCCAAAGCCTAGTTTGGGGGCCAGGCTTGACTTGTAACTTGGTCCATGGGATTATACAAGATATTTACTAACACACCGGGCTCAGCACCATTAAAAAAAAAGTTGTCAAAGTTTTCCTACTTTCAAAATACCACAGTAACGAGAAACACTTTTTATTTTTTTTTTATTTTAGGTTAAAGCAAGTAATGCAATTACATGTTAGTATAATTAAATTATTTCAAGTAAAATACATTTTGAAAAAGAAAATGATGATGGGATTTTTTACAGATTGCACACCCAATGACACTATACCCAACTCAATAATTAATAATGCAAAAACTATTAAAGATATCTTGATAATTTACACGTATGCTTAAGTTAAACAGTAAGAAGAGAAAAAATGAACACTTACATATAGAAGACGCGCATTCATCATCATCTAGCAGGTCACTGTCGTCATTTTTGATCTTCCTTGTTTCAACCTTTGCAGTTTCACGTTAGATAAGAAAAACTGCTAGAAGTATCCTTTGTGTTGGGTTGGTATGTATGACAGGAGGGCATACTATTCTTTGAGCTTGTCCTGGTTAAGTTACCAGGAGGCGGGATACTCAGGTCGGGGATTTTCAACACGAAGTGTTTGCCTTCTCGTTCAAGTACTGTATTATGACCTGACAAAAGTGAGGATTGGAGGAATACATTTGTTCATATGAATATTTTGGCCATGGTGGCTCTTAGCTAGGTATGTTAGTAAATGCCTGCTATGGGAAATTATGGATTAAGGTTTTATAAAGAACTGGGATGATATGAGTGATTGTGGTTATATGATATATGAGGTCATTTGCAGGAGAGTAAGTAATTAGCAAAAGAAGGCACCAAGCTGGGAAGACTGTATCACAGTCTGTCGTTAGATATTCAAAAGGTGCTAAATATCATTCAGGATGCCAATATGAAAACAAAATGACATAAGGCATGAGATACCATAGGTATCTGATTCACCAAGGATTCTATCATGGGACAAGTGACTCAAGAGACATTAGGAAAGCAAGACATAAGATCATCCTGAAAATTGGAAAATTCTATAGAGATGCATGATGCAGTTTGGACAATAAGGAACAGGGTGGAGTTCCATAAAGTGCTTTTGAGTTAAGTGAATGGGGCCAATATGCAACCTAGCCAGAGCTATTTCCCACCATCTATTACAGCGGCAGGAAGGTCAAGGGGGTTAAGTCACTTTTAAGATTGCCCAGTTTGTTACCTGTAATGCCAGACTAATGACCCTGCTAACAATCATGGATCACAGAATTAATAACTGGGCAGTGGTTTTAGGAAGTATAGGGTTATATACAATCTGGAATCTTGTATGGAATTGGTTATTAGTGGGAGCAAAGCTATGAGATTGGATTTAATATGAACTGATCATACAATAGAACTGATTTTACAAGACTGAATGATTGACACAAATGATTGTCAATCATCATTGACACAATGGTGATTGACTTCCCTAAAAATTCAATGATTCAGTTTCTGCATATTCTTTTTTTACTCTTTAAGTAGTCCCATTGCAAAAACATTCAACACTTACCATTCGTCCGTGACAAAACTAATGACATGGCCAACCTGCAACAGACCTTATTAGTAGTCTCAAAAGATGCTTTGGAAGCCAGGGAATAAAGATCTCTTACTAGCATTATGATGAAAAACAAATCTTTAGTATAAATAATACCAGGTAAGAAGGCCAATGGTTGAAGAGAGCAAAGGGATGACAACAATGTTGAGAAACACAAAGTTGCGAAGTAGACTGGAAGTACTGTTTAACCTGTACACACTAAAAAATGTTATCTAACTTTATAAATACCCTTACAGGTGAAACATTATCTCCAAATGAACTTTAATTTTGTTTTTATGCATACCAGGTCTAATGTTTGAGGACACTACACAAAGGTGAAAAGAAACACCACAATTAGAAATAAAGTAAAATATTTATTTGTACCTGCATTTTTCAGTACTGGTTTAATTCTTAACTAAAAACTGGAGTGTAAACTGAAGACTGTGAAGAGCAGCATTTTCCTGACCACCACAAAGTAGTAACAGCATCATTCAACTAATCATTCGTGGCAAAAACACGTTCTTCAACTGCAGACCATAGCCTAACCTTCTTGTGTTCCCATTCAACCATTACTGATGTCAGCTACTTTAATTTATTTATTTTATATATATATATATATATATATATATATATATATATATATATATATATATATATATATATATATATATATATATATATATATATATATACAGTATATATATATATATATATATATATATATATATATATATATATATATATATATATATATATATATATATATATATATATATATATATATATACACACACATATAAAATATTATATTCTATATATTTTTTCAAACTCCACTGCAGCATTTTAAAAGATGCATCTCATGTCATTGCTACACTCTTCAGAAAACAACAATTTTTAGTGAACTACTAATGTATTTATTACAATGGCCAGTCTCTAGCTTCAAACACAACTCATTCACAAAAGAAAATCCATTGTGTAATTTAGTTTCAATTTTGAAGATTACCTTTTAAAGAACATTTGTTAAAATATATATATTTTGCTACCTTTATACACTATATGAAAATCACATAATGGACACAAATATTTAATTTTAAATATGAACACCAGATTTTACAACAAAAATTTACAAATTTATTATAAAATAGGAAATCCATTGTTGTGGGAAGAAGGCAGGTGAAGGGAATAGGCATGAGAGAGAGAGATGAAGTGGGAGGTTTGGGCTGTGACAGTCATCTTGGCAGTAATAGAAAATGCCACAGTAGTATTAATGTGTGTGAGATGAAGTTGGAAACAAGATGGAAAGAGAAAGGATAGAAGGTTGTGGAGAAGGTAAAGTAGGCAAAGGAAAAGAGGAGGAAGAGGCAGAGGGAAAAGGAAATAAGAGATTAGGTGGAGAAAACAACAAAGGAAGTGGATACAAAGTTAACATAAGGAAGAAGGGGAGTGAATGGAGATAGAAGTTGAACAAAAGAGAAAAAATTTGTACAAGTTGAAGTAGAATTCACATAAATAATAAAGGGATGAGAGCATACCAACAAAAATATAAAGGAAAGGGGGTCATACCAACATGTCCTCACGAACACACACACACACACACACAGTCCTCACAGCCATGATGAAAGTTCCTGATCAAACAACTCTTCCCTAGTATCATTTGCTACTACAGATAATAAAAAAATAAATGGAATTGAAAATAAACACGAAAGGTCTAATATTTTTTACAAATATTTTTTATAAGAATATGAGATTTATTGCAGTTATATTAGCATTTACAACCAAACAATTCCCAAGTCTATGCAAGTCACCAATATTAGTGGATAAGGCTAGTATCAATGATGTTGGAATTACATATTTCAAATATTGAAAATATCTACAGTACTGTACTTGTATTTTTCATTGCTAAATTTACATACTAAAAAAATTCTTGCACCACAGATATCATGAGTACATGCTGTCATTAATAGTTATAACAATTATAAATATAAAAAACAATAAACCTAGAAAACCAAGCACATATTTATTATAATAAGAATATATTCAGCAAACTCATTCAGCCTGCATTCTTTCCCAAACTGTACATCAAATATCAGCAGAGCAAAATTAGAAGTATTTATATACCCTGTGGTAGAATTAAAATAAAAATCTCAACATCAAGAATTGTGAACCTCATAATTTAACTAAACAGCTTTGACATTGATATTGGGAACAAATGGTTCTGATGCTGGAACCAGACATGTGCATCTTAAATGACTCTTTATCAACACATTACTGGGAATTAAAAGGTGTTTATGATAGACAATCTCGTCAAGAGGATGAGAGGCCCAGCTGTATCAGTAAATGTCCCAACTCCTCTCTACTTCCCCCATCAAGATCATACCTATTTACTCTACAGTTATCTTGCAATTGGCTGTACCGTATAGGACGGAGGAAATATAGTCATTTTACTCAGTGAAGCTTTTTCTAGCACAAGAAATTAAATTGTGAGGACTTTTAGACATCAAGTAGTAATATACTTCTAGCCTGCTGTAAATGACATGGATCAGCTGGATATGGAGTAACAGATAATCACAGATGATAAAGGCATCAAGCTAGTGATGTATTCTATTTGAAATTACAAAAAAAAAAAAAATGGAATAAGCAACATATAGGATCATGGCCTATGATATCGAATCCACAAAGCACTTGTTTCTGACTGAAAAATTTATAGCACATTAAAATTAGTGGGACCTGACATGAAACTATGGAAAAGGTGAAGAAAATTATGCTTTTATTACATAACATTCTGCATAGCATTGAGTGGAACATCTTTAAAACTTGAAAGGCATGAATATTGTGTGGGACTTTATCTACATGAGGATGTGAAATGTGTTGTGGAGGAAGATAAAGACTGGGCACACTAGTTAACAGCTGAACCCTCAATATTATTGTCTGCAGTGTGTATGAATTTCAAATATAGAGATCTGGCCCCATAGCAGCCTATAGTGTACAACATGGCTGCCAAGGTAATTCAAGAGACCAAGAATGCCTATGAATGTTTTTGCCACCAGATATTTAATTAGAATTACCTATACAAAAATGAGACTTGTCTGTACAAAATTTGGACAGTAACTGTGGTGCACATTAAAGACCACTGGGCCTGGGAGGCAGACTACAGTGAGCCAGCATGACTTACCACACAGGTCATGAGCAAGAGCTCCTGCTGGGAGCCCTGTCTTCCTTTGGTGAACTTACACACTCCACCAATTCCCTACAAGAGAACAATGCAAGCAATGCCACCTGCATATCCTACTCTGATTCTAATACACCATTCTCCACTACCGGTACTGTACTCTCCTCTCCTCCTACAATCTCCTCCTCACCATCAGTTCTGGTCCGTTTCTGTGGTGGTGGTACACCCTCAGCCCCACTAATAATCTCTCCAGTGTCCGTAACCCCCTCAGTTAATTCTGCCCCTTCCTCAATTTCACTCTGCGTCCGTTTGCGACCATTGGTTAGTGGAGTTGCTGCTGTAGTGTCTAAATCTGAGGATTCACTATTTATTTGAGGCTCATCATGTGAAGCGTCTCCATTTGGCTGAGGCACCAATGTCGTTTCTTCTGTCTGTTCTGCCTCATTATTTAGTTCACTGCCTACATCTGAAATAACCTGGGCACTACTGTCATCAGTTGGTTGTGTGTCTGGAGTCTGAGTGAGTGCTAACTGAGCATTCAGTTGAGTAATGCGCTCCTTAGCTTGTCGTAGCTGCTGCTGGAGGTAGTAAATGGTCCCCTGCATACCCTCTGTATCTTCATCCATCTCCAGCAAGAACTCGTCCAATTCTGCAAAATTCACGAAGAAGTACTACTAGCACTACATTAAGTTTTCCATGAGCACTGAAGCACTACCCAAGCCATAACACATATTCACAGATTAACAAGAGTAAATTTGGTTGAGGTAGTGCAAAATATAAGAATGAATGACAAAACTGATAGCTCACTAGTTGTGGGGGATCAAATGAAAATATTTATTGAAAAATCTGTAGTGTCTGTGATACAATATGACATAGGAAACACAAATTATTAAATCAATTAGAAGTTACAAGGACAGTTCTATACAAGAGAATGTACCAACGCATTAAAAACTTTACATACGGACTATCTGTGTGGATGTCTGGAATTTGGGGGTAGGTGGTGAAAGTGGTGGGATAGAGGGGGGGGGGGATTATTTTTTATTCACCTAGTTGTGCTTGCGGGGGTTGAGCTCTGATCTTTCGGCCAGCTTCTCAACTGTCAACCAGCAATCAATTTTTTTCACCCCACCCCCCACCCCAGGAAGCAACCCGTAACAGTTGTCTAACTCCCAGGTACCTATATTCTGCTAGGTAACAGGGGCATCATGGTGAAAGAAACTCTGTCCATTTAGCTCCGCCACTGCTGGGGATTGAACCCCAGTCCCCAGGATTACAAGTCCTGAGTTCTGTCCACTCAACCACCAGGCACCCCTGTAATTACCTAAGTGTAGTTACAGGATGAGAGCTACGCTCGTGGTGTCCCGTCTTCCCAGTACTCTGTTATATGATGCTTTGAAACCACTGACAGTTTTAACATTCGCCGCCACCTCATTTGTTCCAAATGTCTACCACTTTGCAAAAAGAGAACCTTATAATCTTTTTTTGCACCTTCATATCCTTAGCTTGTATCTATGACCTCTTGCTCTTGAAGTTGCAGGTTTTAAGAATTCCTCATTGTCAATTTTTGTCAATTCCTGTTACTATTTTACATATAGTGATCATATCACCTCTTTTTCTTCCATCTTGTAGCTTTGGCCTATTTAACACTTCTAGCCTCTCTTCGTAGCTTTCATTTTTCAGTTCCTGAAGTCATTTGGTAGCATGTCTTTACTCCTTTTCCAGTTTACTGATGTGTTTCTTGAGATATGGGCACCATACAACTACTACTTATTCCATCCAATTTTAGTCTCGCAAAGGTCATGAACGGTTTCTATATTTCACCATCCATGTAATTAACACTTTCACATCCCCGGTGGGCAGGCCAAGCGATGTTTATACTCTTTTTCAGCTTTCTTACCTCAATTTTCATGCTATGTCGTTCAATTTGGTATCAAATTGTTCGCAATATAATTCTCTAAATGAATATTTACATATAAGAATAAACAACATTACCAATACCATAAGATAAAGTACATAAAGTAAAGAAGAGTGGCCACCTCACACCTGATGGTCCAGGTGGTGCAACATTGTCACTAATAGAACTCATCCTTATCACCATCATGTATGATGTCATCCTCATCACCAGCATGTATAATGTTGTAATTTTTGAGAGGCCAATCCTTATACTCAAAGCACACTAGTGACCAAATGACTACTTCGTGGAACTGGAGAAATGCGAGTTTCTTGTATCAATTGTATAGTACTAGTATAACACAAAAGCATTATGTATAGCCATGTACAGCCACAGAGAATGGGAAGACGTTGGCGTGCATTTTTAAAACAAACAGCACAATACTCGGATAATAAATGGAATTTTTAAATATGTTAATTTTGGACGGTACTGACATCCTTCGGATACTGTAACTACGATTAATTATTTTAGGATGTCATTATTATCAAAATGAGATAGTGTTTTAGAGATTCTAAACTTGGAAAGCATAGCCTATGCTCTTTGCACAATGTCCTGTGTGTGGTCCTTTGGTGACAGTATTATCTAGAACCATCCTTAGACATCTTTCTTTGTCAGAATTCTTTAGTGCCTTTCCACATAATATTTATGGTACAGTATCGGGAACACAGTACCACTTGTACAGCTAACAACTACACTACCACTAGAAAATTATCAGATAATCCAAGAGCTCCCTGCCCAGTGTTGTTCCCATGCATGTGTTTGTGTAATGAAAAGCCTCTTTCTAGTAGGGACTCGGAAGCTCCCTGATCAATCCCTCCCCTACCAAGTGCGTCGGTTAGTGGTCTTTCAGTTCTAGACTGAGGTTACGAAGCAGGGAGCTCCCAATAGTGCTACCACCTGTTGGTGGTCAGATGTAACTACGGGGGTTCAATCTAGTTCCAAAGTGAATCCTTTGCAGAATCACTAGGCTGTTTCAGTGCTTTGTAAGTGCTTCACATGCTTTCTGGATGTTTTGTTGGTAAGGGTAATCATAACAATCCCTTTCTCCGTGTGAGACTGTAAAGAAGGCCAGGTTCTAGTTCTGGTCCTTTGTAGGCCATAAAGGACTTATAAGATGATGTGACTCAGTAGAGAAGCTAGCTCACTAGTTTCAGGGAGCCACCTTTCAGTCCCTCCAGGAAAGTGGCTGGTGCTACAAGTGCTCTGGTTACAAAAGAAAAAATATAGGAAGAGGGGAACATGAAGGAGTGATAATGCGGATTCGGATACAATTGGAAAATGAGAGTCTGATATAGGAGTAACAGAAATTAATTATCTAAGCATCAAGTGTGGTGTTAGGAGAAAATATGAATAAAATAGAAAGCCATACACCAACAATGGATTTCATATTTTTCGAGTTTTTGAATTTCCAAATTTAAGATTTTGTATGCTTTACTGTATAATCCTACAGTATCGTTTTTATCATCAAATTTTAATAATTATCAAAAATTATTTCTCTTGCAGCATTTACTTATTAGAACATATATATAAAACAGTCGTATTTTACTCTTGAGGCTACCAACATGTGATTAAATTTGCCAGTACTGTACATGCAGTACTTCTCCATTAAGATGCTAATTTCCATAACATTATATAACAGCACATTCAAGAAATTTTGGTATAATTTATAACTCGGAGGAAAAAAAATACAAAAATCCTTTCTAAATGCATCTTAACAAAGCTCACCTGATTGAGATTTCTTAAGCTCCTCACTGAAGTTCCGTTGAAGAGCCAGTTCACCTTCCAACTTGGCCAGTCGTCCAGACGTTATCATGCGACCAAGTTCCTCATTCTCCTTAATCAGCAAGCGGCATTTGGCCATCAATTGTTTTCCAGTATTACTGTTGAGGTAAAAAAATGACTAGTAACATGATGTCTATTTCAGTGCAGTATGACAAATTCCAGGGTACAATTACCCAATGATTGCTACCATGTACAGTAATCAATTAGTCTTCATCCTCAATCTGATTACAAAAATAATACCCTTACTCTTTTTAATTTGTATACTTCAAGAATAAAATATTATCTTTTAAATGACACTGCAAAAATATCCGAGCGCAGATTTGTATGGAAAGAAAGTGCAAAGATTAGAAATGATTAAATATCTCAGCCAGGTTGATGGAACAGATGCCAACACACACAATATACTTATACCTAGAAAATTTTGTGTAAGATAAACAATGTATGGAAAATCTAGAACCTAAAGTTTGCAAAAGTTTTACAAATATTTTCACAATCCTTATTTTATATTTCAAACACACACACACCTCACAATTGTAAAATTAAAATTATAGCAAATAAAGTTTACAGAACATGAATGCAGTCGATGGAAACGAACACTTTTTTTTAGCAAATATAGAATAATGAAGGAAATTCTTGACTGAATATATATATATATATATCATAGATAAAGAATGCAGAGAAAATCTTAAATATCTAAGAGTACAATATATCTAACATTTATACCTTTTTCCATCTGAAAACTCATCCTTATGGAAGAGGTAACAAATTTTTCTCAGGATATTTCATATGACTCCAAGTATCATTAACTTTTAGAGAAACTATTGAAATTAAGCAAAGATCAGCGAGTTCTGCCCAATGGTTCAGTTACCATGAACGTGAAGCAGTCACTACTTGCTTACACCAAGAAGTAAATGTGACAAAAATGGGATTTGCTGAATTTTTGTAAGCACAAGAGGATAGAAAAAGATAAAAGTCAATGGAAAGAAAGAAAACACAAATACTGTACTGTATTGTAATGGAATAGCAGCATAAGTGAATGAATGATGTAAAAGTGTTGAAGACCATCGAGTGGCACTGTAGTGTAGTCAAAGGAACCATTACTGGCAGGAATAACCCTTTTTCTTTCCCCGTGGTAGCTCTTAAATGGATAATCCAGTTCTGCTAGTTGACTATTAAATGTGTGTACCACACTTGAATAACTGGTAGCTCTTAAATGGGTAATCCAGGTCTGCTAGTTGACTATAAAATGTGTGTAGCACACCAGAATAACTAAATATGAAATTACAGTGTTACAGTTAGGAAAATACCATAGTTAATTAGAACAGTAAACAAGAAAAACGTTCTAAGCCGATATGACTATATAGAATTTAATTGCAACTAATTCAAAGTAATTTAAATAACTTTTAAAGATGCCTTTACAAGAGTATGATATGAGAAAATCTACTCTACAGGAGTCAAATTCACAGAGCAGCTTATCTTATAGCATTTGGTGCAGAGGCATTGGTGGAAAGCAACTCTTCTATAATTCTGGAAATCATAGTACTCGACCAAAAGATGCACAACAGTAAACGGAAAAAGAAAATTTCGACAGAAACACAACATCCTTACATCATGTGGCCATGGGTTAATCTGGTGTGGCGAAAACATAATCTGGCTAATGAAGTGTCCCCAGTTCTTATTCATGTAATATGAGGAAGATAAATAATTTTTCATGTCTCTTAATTTATTGCAAGGTTGTTAACTACCTTTCCTTCCAACCAGTGTGTATAGCATGAATAATATTTGGGTAAAAATTCGAATATGAAATAGACTTTTGGAGCAACAGGACACATGTTAATGGCTTAATATTTAGCTGCTGAATCTACTAGTTTATGTTGCCAACAGTATATGAATGGGTAACCAACAAACCTCTTGATTTTTGTGTCTTCTGAAGAGGAGATGTACTCAATGTTTAATTTCTATTACTATGGAATTAGAAGGGTAAAAGGGGCAACAACCATTAGTAAACAACCATAACGTAGATTGCCAATTAATTAACGAAGAGCAGCAATTGGAATACGGTACATGAGAAGGGTCTCTTGACAAAGGCATCACTCTAAATGTCTACAAATCATTCTGCTGTAAACAACCTATTATATCAAGTTCAGACTTGTTATTAGCTTTATTCACAATAAGTCAGATTCAGAAAAGTATGTACAGTTCTGTAATTAGAGATTTCATGAGCTGACTGCCAGAAGAGCTCTTCTTTTGCTCTGATCTAGCAGTTGCATCAACTGGTGAACGCGATGAATTCAGTCTGTATTTAGGTTATATATGTGAGAGTCAGTGCCTTCATAACGATTGACGAGAGCTCTATCTTAGCTTTGCCAAGTTCTACACCAGGTGCAAAATAAAGGTTGAAAGATACTCAGCATTTAACAAAAGAGTAAACTATATAAAATGTATTGAAATGTTAGACAAACAGCAAAGATATATTCAGTTAAATATGGGAAAGTCAACTTTATGTGACATTTAATTTTTGTTTATTTTATACTGTTAGAGAAAGTGCTAATACCATGAGAGCAAAGTGCTTGGCACAAACAACTTGTTAAATTAAACTAGGTTATGTTTAAATGGTACGAGCACACACAGTTGCAGCTGTTAAAAGCATGCAAGTAGTTATCCAAAGAAAACACCAAGCCAGGAAATCTATGTAGCAGCAGTTTTTAAGATTATATGAAGCTAACACATTAAATTGTTGTACAGTATATTACGCTATTTTGATAATTTTGTAATGTCAATTCTATTAAAGAACATCTCCAAGTCCAAAGATATTTGGATAATATATACAGTGGTTTACTATATCTTCCAATGAAATGAAGCAAATGAAAAAAAATGAGGTCTACTCTAGCATCTAAGATTTTAATACAGTATTTTACAGTTTTAATACTGAAGCATTTGCCTTGAACTCTCCCCTTTGTTTTTTCAATGTGTTGCTTTAACTATGAAGACTTCATATGAAAATGTTAAAAAAATATCAAGTTTAATCTGGGAGAGAAAGGAATGATCCCAAATATCGTGAATTTAATTTCTGGTTTAGATCTATGAATATGCAGAACAAATTAAACTGTGAAACAAAATTAAGTTCCACATTGGAGATAATTTAATCACCTAAAAATAAGATTAATACAAATGCAAACAGGACTTAAATTACAATGTAACGAAGAAATTTTATTTCACTTAATCTCAATACAGTACTATGTTTATAATGTTCTTGTATAGCCTATTCTTCCAGCGGGGTTTGGTAATTCTTGATAAAAGTCAATATGCCACTACCAAATCTTCCATCCAGTTATATACTTGAATCAGCAGCCATCTAGCTGCCTGCATTTACTGAAACCAGTGCAGACAGTAGCTGCTTCTGTGATAACCTAATTAAAATGCTGAACTCTGCAAGTATTTAGTTATCTGTCATTGGGCCTTCACCAGAATGCATGGAAATGTTTGGTAGATTGAAGACTTGAGATACTCTGGAAGGATCTCACACACTACAGTATTATCTTCAGAGAAAAAAAGTGTAAACACCAAAAATAAAGATCCTCATGGAATATTTCTCAATGGATTGTACTTATTTGTTTGTGCATATGCAAATTATGCAACTGGCGTATCTGGTACCTTAACCACTTGACCAGCCATGACCGTACAAAAGACTTTGGTAGCCGAGGCTATTTCCCCCACCGTCCCAATGGCACTTGGTGGTGAGCTTGGGTATAGTTATTTCATCAAATCACCTCATTTTGTGGGGCCATTTGAGCAACACAAATGCAAACAAGGATTTAGATGCTTGCCCCTGGTTCCCAAGGGACACTATGTGTGGAGTTTTCAGTTGCATATATGCTTGGGAACCATTCAAGCTTGTTCGCAGTTGTGTTGCTCACGTGGCTCCACTTAAATGAAATGATTTGATGAAATAGCTATGCCCAAGATTACCATCAAAATGCCGTCGGTTCAAATAGCTTCGGCTATCACCTCCTTATGTACGGTCACTGATGGTCGAGTGGTTTAAGGCACCGTAACACCAGTTGCAATATGCTCCTGGCGGTCCGGGTTCGAGTCACTTCTAGGGTGTGGAGTTTTCATTCATTCGTATATATATATATATATATATATATACACACACACACACACACAATTTATTATTTTTTGCACAAAGAAATCCCATTAGCATAATGAATCAATGAGAAAATCAACTGGAGCCATGAGGATTCTAACCTGCAACCTGGGTACTCTCAAGCACATGCCTTCAGCACTGAACCATCATACACTAATAAATAATGTATCCTGGCCACCATACAATCCACTCAATCCACTTAGGGGTCTTGAGGCATAAAACTGGTTTCGGGCTCAATGCCTCAATACCTGGTACGTAATTTTATGACGTGTAATTTTAGTGCAGCAATGTCAATTCACTAAAGAGATATTGTTCAAAGACTTTGCCCCCTCCCCTCCAAACGGAAGTGATAAAATGCTTCTAATATCCACCACCAGGGGCTACGCAATCCAATGACAACAGGGACCTCCCTTGTGCTATCATATAAAAAACTGGAAGTTTCAATCTGACATTCAACATCATTCTCCTTATACAGTATTTACAAGGGTACCAATCAAATAAACATATGAAAACCATAAGATTTTCATATGTTTATTATGAAATATATTATTATGAAATATATTCATATGAAAACCAAGTAAACCCATCCTTATGGGGATACCTAATAAAACTGATAATAGCATAATACTGCTGGTATCAATGACTAACAATGCCATGCAAATTCAAGAAGAACCAAAATTTTACTACCAAAAATATTTTAATTCGAGTACAATACTGTATCCATGTTTTTGCCCCCATGTAATATGGCAAAATGCATAAAATAAAGCTGCAACAGTGAAAATTTACTGTGTATGCTGTATTCACATTTCAACTAGTTAGGAGTAGATTAACATTTGCAGAATGTTATTTATTTATAGCAACCTTTTTCTACCAAGTCATATTTTTCATAACAGTCCACTCGGTGTAATAACTTCCTCAATGCTGTCGTATACTGGAACTCTGGCTATT